GTGAGTGAAAGCTTAAAAAGGGCAAATACCTTGGACCTTCATCATGAGCTGTGGTAAGAAAAGTCCAGGTTTCAGGGTTGGAATGATATTCTGTTAAATTCTAAAACCATCACCACTAGCTTTAGTTTTTAATGTGCTGTTCAGTCTTTTTGAAGTGCTCTCTAGAGGCGGGGATGGTGAGACTTTGCCTTACATACATTGGACATCTTATCAGGAGGAACCAATTCTTGGAAAAAGATTGCATGGAAAAGCAGGTCTTTGAAACAGAGGAGGACCCTTAACATGGATAGACACAGTGACTGCAACAAAGAAGAGTAGAAATTGTGAGGTTGGTGCAGGATCTGGAAAGGTTTCATTCTGCTGTGAGTCAGAGTTGGTGACACCTAACAACAACAACAAATAATACCTGAATTGTTTTTATACAAGCACACAGGTAAATATAATTTGTAACGTGTTTGAAAAAAAAAAATTGAGGAAGGAGCCAAGAAAAACAGAAGTACTTTCCGTGGCATTTTAATGAAGTTCCTTTTTAAAAAATTTCAGCTTGACACAATATTTAGGATTTTGATATTTTATTGTTCTCTTTTTTAGCCAAGTTCCTTTTGCTCCCAGATATATAGGGTTGCTATGACTCAGTTGTACCCAGCAGCAACAACAACAACATATTTGGATAATGGTTTTATTTCTGCCTCTATTTCCATAAGCTTTGAGTAAACTATTTTAAGTCTCTTTTACTGTTTTCTCATCTATAAAATATGCCCCTTAAGGTCTAGACTCTGTAGTTTATATGCCTTATTCTGACTTACCCATCTAAATGCCCAGCATGTCTTCTGTGCCATAAATCTAAGTCTGTACAAATTGTTGTAGAAATAGCACAGACTTTGGAAGTACCAATGTGAGCTTTGCAATTTGTTACCTCTGGAGTTTGAACCTCATTATTCCTGATCTATAAAAAGGGGATTTAAAAATGTTATTCCTGTAATGGTTATTAAAGGGAGCTCTGTTGGCTTAGTGGGAAAGGAGTTGTAGTGCCAACCCAAAGGCAAGTGATTTGAATCTACCAGCTAGCTATTCCATGGGAGAAAGATAGGGAGTCTATTTCTGTGCTATTTACAGCCTCTGCAAACCCAATGGAGGGTCACCTATGAGTCAGTTCTGACATGACAGCACATAAAAACAACAATGGTTATTATGAGAATTAAATAAAACCACAGTGATTTTTAAGAATTAAAAATTCCATTGTGATATGTGTAAAAATTGGCAGAGTAAATTGACTTTCCAACCAAAAATTCATACACATTTTGTGACATTTATTACATTTCCCACATTGTAAGAATGTCATTCTCATTAGTTTCCTGTGCTCCCCATTTCTACTCATCCTTCTTTAAAGTGCATTGTTGTTATGTGTACAGTCTGTCTCAGAGTTGATTCTCCAGCAAGTTTTCAGAGGCAGTTAATTGCATAGGAGTAAATTGCCCATCCTTCTCCCACAGAGCAGCTGGTAGATTCAAAACACACACCTCTGGGTTGACAGTGTAGCTCCTTTTTACTAGGTCACCAGAGCTAAATTATCTAAGTTCTTTCACTATTTTTTTTAGTGTGTGTGTGTGTGTGTGTGTGTGTGTGTGTGTGTACGTGTACCATCGAATCAGATCTGACTGGCACAGGAGATTGCCCCTCCTTCTCCAGTGGAGCAACTAGTGGATTCGAACTGCATGCCTTTGGGATTTCACTATTTCTTTAACTAAACTCCTTCACCATTTTGTGCTTCTATTCGACAGTGAAGACAGTGGTTTGAGTTTTATTTTCAAGGTCTGCCTCTCAGGTGTTACTACATACTCTTCCCCAAATCTGTTCACTGGAATTGCTCTCTTGACCATTTTTGGACGTTTGTTCAGCACCAGTAACCACCAGAAGCCACATAACTAGTGATGGCTGTTTCCAATTCATGCTCTCTAGAGTAAATGGAAATTGTGTTGAAAAAAAAATTCCCTGGGGGACAATTCCTAGCAGTTGAGGTGAGCAACATCCCATCAGGAACACTGATGATGCCATAGTTAAAGCACTTGCTTGTTGTGGTTGTTGTTGCTGTGCCCATCAAGTTGGTACCAACTTATAGCTGACCCTCCAGAGAGCCTTCAGAGTCTGTAAATCACATGGGAGATTACCCATCTTTCTCCCACAAAGCAGTTGATTTGAACTACTTGCCAATAAGTTCACAGTACAACTCCTACATAAGAAAAAATGAGGGAATCTGTGTCTATAAAGATTTACAGCCTTAGAGACCCTGAGGGGCAGTTCTACTCCATTTTATTGTCTTAGTTGTGTTCTCTTGAGTCAGAACTGACCCCGAACTAACCCTCTGGGAGGTTTGCGGAGACAGTTAATCATGCAGGAGGAGATTGCCCATCTTTCTCCTACAGAGCAGCTGATGGATTTGAACTGCATACCTTTGCTCCTTATCACTAAGCCACCAGACCTCCCTTTTATTATTGTTGTTTTTGTTCTGTGCCATCCAGTCACTTGGAATTCATAGCGACTGTAACAGCTCTGAACTCTGCTCTATCTTGAGCCAATTTCATTGTTTCTGACATACCTGCCCCCTTTACCTCAGTCACTGAATCAAACTGTCTCATCCAAGCTCTTCCTCTCCTGCACTGTCCCTCCACCCTTCCCAGAATGCTGTCCTTCTCCAAGGACTGTTCTCTCCTGGCAACATGCCCAAATTCTGTGAGATGGAACTTCGAAGTCCTTGCCTTAAAAGAGCAGCCTGGTTTCACCCTCTCCAGGACACAGTCATAATTCTCTCAGCAGTATGTTCAATATTCTTCTCCAGCACCATCACTAAAAGATATTGATTCTCCTTCTGTCATTCCTTGTCCAGATCTCTGAAGCATAGCAAGTAATGAGAAAACCATGGCTTAGATCAGGTGCACTTTATCTTTAGTTGACATTTTTTTTAATTTTATTAAATTTTATTAGTTTTAATGAATATTTACAGGGATTTTGGGTTTTCATTCCTTCATTGCTGCACCATTCTCTCTACCCTCCTCCCCAGTTTGTTCTTCTTCCCCGCCATCCGAATGTCTGTTTTAATTGTCCAATTGCCACAGTGCTTGTCAAAGTCAGTTCTGATTAATCTCCTTTGTCAGTGTGTCCTTTGCCATTCCCTATCACTCCTCCCTGAGAGAGACTTCACCCTGATTCATAAGGAAAAGGGGATGGCGTATTCTCTTAGCTACTTCCTGCTGAAAAGGGAGGCTGTGGGTTTCAGGGTGAAGATCTTCTCTCACTACTCTAAAGGGCCCCTTTGGCAGTAGGAAACACATAGACTATTATGGAGATTGATTTTGGAATTTAGATGCACTGTTACTAATTGTGCTTAGCCGTACATGTTCATATCCCTGAAGATGTATCATGGGGGGGGTTTCAACCTAGAAGACACAAATTTAACTAACAAGTTATAAGTACATGAGTCAAAAATTATGGAAAAGTAAAAGAAAAGATTCTTTCATTGTTTTACAAACCCTCCCCCAGGTCCCCTCCACCGTGTAGCCCTCGCTCTAGACTCCTGTGATGACAGAAATACCTAGTCACATATCTCTTTTACACAGTTTTCTCCCTCCTCTGTTTCAGCGCAGTATACATTATTGAACACATCTTACTCAGTCTCTCCCCAACCCTGAGGTTAGTCCCATTCTACAACAGTGGCATCATGTAATATTTGTCCTTTTGTGACTGGGATATTTCACTCAGCATAATGTTCTCCAGAGTCAACCATTTTGAATAATATTGCATGAGTTCCTTGTTTTTTAATGCAGCATAGTATTCCATTTTTAGTTGACATCTTGCTCTTCAGTACCCTGGAGAGGTACCTGACAGTAGATTTTTGCCAATGTAATTTGTCTTTTGATTTCCTGGCTGCTGATACCAAAAGTGTTGATTGTGGATCCCAGCAAGCTGAAGCTGTTAAAAAAAAATAAATAAAATTCTCAATCCCTCAAATCAAGTTTGACTCATAGTAACCCCACAACGTATTAGGTCACTACATAGGGTTTTCCAGCCAACAATCTTTACAGGAATAAATCTTCCACTCTTTCTACAGTAGAGCCACTGGATGAACTTAGGTTAGTAAGTGGAACTTCCATCTCACCTCTCAGTGTTTTGATAGACGGTTGAGAACCACTGCCCTAGGTCGTGTAGGCTGCCTTTTTTATCTGCATCAGAATCAGCTCTCCCTAGAGCAGTATGGGGACTTTAAAGGAGTCTCTAGTAGCATAGTGCATTTCACATCCCTGCTAACCAAAAGGTCAGTCATTCAAATCCACCAACTATTCCTCTGGACAAATGTGAGCCTTCTCCTCCTATAAAGCATACCCAGCTTGGAAACTGATGGAGGGTTGCTATGGGTCTGAACAACCCAAAGGCAGGTACAGGAGTACAGGAGTACAGGAGTACAAAGGGGTGCAGGAGGCCTAAGGAGCTCTGGTGGTCTAGAGTGGTGCATATGGTGCTGTGTGCCGAACGGTCAGTAGCTGCGATCCATCAGCTACTCTGTGGGAGCAAGATGGCCAGCCTCCTTCTGTAAAGATTCATAGCTTCAGAAACTCAAAGGAGCATTGCTGCTATAGGTTGGTATCTACTTGACATTAACAGGAAAGGGGGTTTAAAGCAGTAACCTCCTCACTCACATCTTCAAGAAATTTGTCATAGTTGGCCTGGGTTTTCTGTTCTTACTTGGTGCTTTGTCTCCTCAGTCAGTTGTCTGAAGAAATGAGATAGGGTCAGCTGCAGACGCCTTTCTGAAGCTGGGAGCTCTGATCTTAAGACCTACCTGTGAGTGACGTTCAGAAGGGCACTCTCTCTCAGGAGATCTACTCCAGTGGTTTTTCCAGACCTTTATGGGACCTGACAGAAATGAAAAATTAGTGACAAAGATGAGGACTGAGGCCTATTATATCCTTTATTTTTTTTTTCCTTTCTTTCCCATTTTTCTGCAGCACCAGCAGCCTCTGGGGATGTGAAGCAGCTGGTTGGTGCCGTCGGCGGGTCTGTGACTTTCTCTCTTAATCACTCAGTTGAGCGGGTTGGCAGCATTGTCTGGATCTTCCACACAACTCTGGCGACCTTACAGCCAGGAAAGGAAAACAATTCATCTACCATCATAGTGACTCAAACTCATAAAAGACCCAGAATGAGCTTCTCAAGTCAAGACTACTCTCTGACGCTCAGCAACCTGGAGAGGAACGACTCGGGTATCTACTCTGTGGAAATACACAGCTCTGACCGAAATAATCCGGCCATCACTAAGTATGTGCTGCAAGTTTACGGTGAGCAGAGCCCATTCCGAAAGTAGACGACTACCTTGGTGAAGTGGTGCGCTTGCTGGCATGGTGGATGTCCAAGCAGAGGTTGAATAAACAGTCAAGAATATGCAAGAGGGGAATCTTCTATAATTTAAATAGCTGTACCTGACCTCATGTAGTTCAACAAATGAGCCACTTGGAGATGAACAATCGTACAGATCTAGGTCAAATGTTACTGGCTTCTCTATGTACTAGTCACACGACCTTAGACAAATACTTGATCTCTCTGAAAATCAGACTAAAGCATCAGTCCACACCCCTTCCTTTATAGAGTCAAACCATTTTGAGAAGTAGATACAAGAACTAGAAAATAAAATATCAACTTTATTTTTGGTAAAGAGAAACACTTCCTTCTAAGTTACAAAAAAAAAATTACTCAACCAGATCCAAGCAGAATCACCTCACACTCACTGAACCCCAATATCAGAAACACCAGGAGATGGGTCCCCAGCCTTCTCGGGAGGATACAAGCCATGCACTTCAAGCCAGGTGTGTGGCTCAACTGAAAGAAGAATTGCATTCTGCAGGCAAGGGTCTAGAAGAAGGGAAAAAAATAACATAGAGAAAGGGACTTTGAACAATTTAAACCTCCCCTAATAGGAACATTGAAGATGAGTGTCAGACTCTCCACCTCTTCAGTTCTTTAAGGCAAAGAAATGAGCACAAGGTAGAGAGGGGGGGACCATAAGTGTTATTCTTTCAGAGAGTAAAGTGAAATCTCTCTGAGGAAGCCCGATGACAGGGAGATAAAGGTTCTGCATCTAAAATACCACTAGCATAACACTTAGCAAATGGTAACTACATTTTTGCTGATTTGGTCTTTTCCATAATTGTTGCTCTTACTATCCCTATTATTACTATGTAACTGTGCAATCAGACCTCCATGGTCCTCTGCCCCAGGAAAAGAATGAGAGTTCTGCTCTCAATTGCTGCTTCCCCTCTTCTCTGGAACACCCCAGGGAGATTCAGACTTGAGGTGTCAAGGGACAATTCAGAGTAATGGCTAGTGACATAGTGTCCACCCCTGGTTGTCCATTTCTCTTTCACAGAGTACCTATCAAAGCCCAAAGTCACCAATCTGCTGAACAAAAAGAATGGCACATGTATGACCAATCTGACATGCTCTGTGGAAGAGGGAAGAGAAAATGTGACTTACACCTGGAAGTCTGTAGGTCATGCAGCCAGGGAGATCTGGAACGGCTCCATCCTCCCCCTCTCCTGGAGACAAGGGGACACCAACATGACCTTCATCTGCACAGTCAGAAACCCCATCAGCAGCAATTCTTCAACCCCAGTCTCTTCCTGGGAGCTCTGTGAAGGTACAATTCTATCCCCTTTCTAAGAACCTCTGGTTCCAGGATCTTTCCAGCCCCTGATCCCCATGGGAGCAGGAAGATGGGAGCCCTTTGGAAATGACTGGGCTGGGAGGAAGCTTGTGGTTTCCTTCCTAACCCTCCTCCCTACTCTGTGCCCCACCCATTTTCTCTTTAAAGGCACTGCTGCTGACACAGTTGCTCCCATGGCTACCTTGTATCTCATATTGATGCCAATACTGCTCATCACTATAATGGGACTTGTTTGTATTCTGAACATAAAGAGAAGAAAAGGTTTGGACTTCCCTGAAGTGGAGCCTGCACTATTCCCCTCACCCCCATCCTCATTCACGCATTTGCTCCCTCTTGTATTTAACAAACATATATTAAGCAGTGTACTAGGCTTTGGATAAATAATAAGAATGTAGAGAGAAAAAGATCATGATCCTTCCCTGAAAGAATAACACAGTCAGCCTGAACCCTTAGTTCTTGAGTAGAGTATGCTTGGGTTTGTGACTTCACTGAGGCCAAAGTCCTTCCATCCTTATTCCATACCACTTCTCCACCTCCCCTATAGGGACTTGCTAGTGTGGTCCTTCTCTTGAGATAAGTCTCACACTACTGATTCTGCTCCCCTGACATGATAGGTGATGCCCTTCAACTGCGAGGTCTTCACAGACCTGCATCCTCTGCTCAGCCCTGCCTGTTCCCCTCTTTGCCAGAGCCCCCAGCCAGTCCCAGACCTCTCCAGTGCATCAACCCCAGAGACTTCTCTTTACTCCTCATGTTGGTCTACATGCATCTTTCCTGGAGAAGTCTTATAAGGCAAATGAGTTAATCAGTCCCTCTACTGTTATCCTTTCACTCCGTGCTTGGTGTTCCTAAACCCCATTGATCTGTTGCTGTCTATGTAGGGCATTGGAAAGCACCCTCAGCACCTCAGTATGATGTGCAGAGTTTGTAATCTTCCTTCTCTTGGAAGTTCTCTGAAAGCATTCCTGACCTTCTCTGCTTCCCGTTTTGGCTGTCTTGGTCTAGAGAGCAGGAGCTGACATGACAAGAGTGACCAAGTTGTCCTAGTTTGTCTTTGATTTTTCTGGTTTTAGTACTAAGAGTGTCTAGGAAAGGACTTCAATCCCAGGAAAATCAAGACAGTTGTTTACCCACGTGGGGTGGTAGGCTACTGGGTGGTGAGCAGTTGGAGGGGTCAGCTCTAATTCTGTCCCAAATTGGTTTCAGAGTTCACTAAGGAGAAGAAGGAAATAGAATCCCATCAAGAAACTCCTAACACCTGCTCCTCCTCTGGCCTGAACACACTGTATGACACAATCTCTTACCCTAATGTAAGTCTTTTCTCATCTCTCCCTGGTCTGTTACTCCTGAGGTCTTTTTTTACTTGAGATTTTCCCCTGAGTAGAGGAGATAAGGATGTATACAGCCTTTGAAACCAGATGCACTCATTCCTTCCCCAAGTCTTTACTGATTCTCCCTTGTGCAGGAACTGATGGCCTCAGGAATACCTGGGCCTAAGCAAATTGTAATGTTCACAGATTGTCTGTGGTCATCGCCTTTCCCCTGTAGTTCACACTGGCCACTCAACAGCCTGATTGCTCTTGCAGTGGGACAGAACAGTGGGCAGGGAGGTGTGCTGTGGATATTATGTATCACGATGCCAGACAAAACTCTAGAAATGCCTTTTTTTATCTGAGATGAATGGAGAAGTCATCATAAGGGTGCAAAAAGGCCCACTGAGCTTCTGAACGCACATTCAGGACTCTCACAGTGTGAGCCAGGGAACTCTGATGGCACAGAATTCACCAGTAGTCCCAAGGGAGAAAGACTGGCAATCTCCTCCTGTGGAGAGTACAACTTCTGGAAGGCCAACTATGCGTTGGTTCCAACTCCACCGTAAAGAGGTGTTTTGGAATGCTGGCCACTGAGTTGAAATAAATGAACTCAAATTTAATTCAACGGGAATTCTTTAAAAAGAATATCATAGGGATAAAGTTTAAAGGATATCAAATAGCCAGACATATTGGAGCTGTGAAAAAAAGTAGGTTTTGGAAGACTCTTCAGGAGTATATGGCCCAGGCTGGACTAACTCTGTAGAGAACACAGGGCACTTATTCATATTGGCCCATTTAAAGAAGAAATGAAAATACTTTGAATCTTCAAAATTTAAATTTTACTTAAGCTTTCACTGTCTCTCCACTGGTTTGCAAAAAAAGACATTATGTTCTTGCTTAAAAAATGTTAATAGCCCAAATGTCCAATTAAAATAAAATGGATTAAAAAATTATGGTACATTCAAACAATGGAATACTATACAGCACACAGAGACAAGGATTCTGTAAATCTCTACCTAACGTGGGAGGGACTGGAGAGTATTATGCTACGTGAACTAATCCAGCCCCATAAGGACAGATACTGTGTAAGACCATTATTGTAGAAATAGATAACTAGTAAAACATGTATGAGGATCTAAATGGGGGAGAGGGGAGCTGAGGGGTGAAGATGGGTGGAGGGGTAATCATAGGGTGGCATGGTTTGATGGGTAGAGGGGGGTGGATTAGGGAAGTAAGGGAGATCCAGTGTGAGGGGTAGTGTATATCAACTTTGTAGGTCAACCAGAATAAAATTTAAAAAAAAAAAAGAAACTTTTTAAAAAAATATTGTATCAGAGAGTCAAGGACTGTAGTTTGCAGTACAAATTGAAGCTCAATATCAAGAAAATGAAGATTCTCACCACTGGACCAACTGACAACATCATAGTAGATGGAGAAGAGATTGAGATTGTTAACAATTACTGCTTGCTTGGCCCCACAATCAAGACTCTCGTCATTAGCAGTCAGGAAATCTAAAGACAAATTACATTAGGAAAATCTGCTATCAGGGACCAGGATGCTAAAGAGCAACTATGTCAGTCTAGAGACTGAAGTGTCTGATCCAGGCGATGGTCCTCGCAATTACTTGCTATGCATCAGAGAGCTTGACAATGACCAAGAATGGCAAAAGAATTGATGCCTTTGAGTTATAGTGCTGGTGAAGAGATTGAACATACCACAGAACATTTCAAGAGCACTAACAGGTCTGTCCTGGAGAGGGGGTGAAACCAAGCTGCTCCTTGGAGGCAAAGATTTTGAGTTCATCTCACATACTTTGAGTATGTAGCCAGGAGGGACCAGTCTTTGGGGAAGGATATCATGCTTGGAAGGCGTGGAGGGTCAACACAGGAGAGGAAGACCCCAGCTGAGATGGATTGACAGAGTAACTGGGGTAATGAGGGTCGGTGTGTCAGAGATAGGTCGGTGTGTCTGGCTCATGCTAGAGCAGGGTTCAGAGCTATTGTGTATAGGGTGGCTATGAGCTGTAGTGGGCTTGACAGCACATAACATCAACAACACTTTCATTGCTTGGTGGTTTCCTGGGGAGGTTACAAATCTTCCTTAGATGTTCAGGAATGAATGTAATTAGTATGGGATGTTTGGGGTTTTTTTCCAGTCAAGGGACAAAGGTCATTATTATTGTTTTGGTTTGACATTTATCTATCTATCTATCTATCTATCTATCTATCTATATCTATCTATCTATCTATCTTTATTTTCTATCAGTCGTCCTTACTGAGTAGCCTCAGGCCCCTTTTGACTAGAGGAAAAATGTATTTGCAACACTGACTTTATTCATTAAGATTATCCTCTAACCACTTTCCAGTAAACCAGTTGCTATCACATACAAGTCAGGGTCATGGCAGCTCCATGAATGTCCAAATAGAACTGTGCTCCATATGGTTTTCAGTGGTTGGTTTTTAGAAATGAGTCATCAGGTCTTTCTTCCAAGGCATCTTTGGGTAGACTCAAACCTTTCCATTAACAGCCCAGGGCATTCATTTATGGTATTTAACCACTTCAAGAGGCTCTTAGCTCATGGGACTTAAGCAATTTTTCAGTTCTTTTACACAGAACACACCTGAAAAGAATCCTATTGTTCCAGAAATTATTATTAATGATCATTATTATTAGCAAGAGAATATCCCACTATTCAATCCTGTTCCAGATTCTTCTCTCCCCTCTCCACATCTCCATCTACTTTTAATTTTTCCTCTATGACCTGTCTGCATGGCTCAGGGATGGAGAAATAATTCTTTTGTTGTTTCTTTTTCTAACAGAAAACTACTCCAGGGGAAGTTGTAGCAAATACACTTTATTCCACTGTGACAATGCCTGAAAAGGTAAGAAGTTTTACAGCTGAACTTGTTTGTAGTTATCCCATTCATTTCCCCAGTTTGAGCACCAGTTAAAATTTTGGGGGCCCTGGGGATCTCATATTTCTTGATACTATATGGTACCATGGTTCCCCTAGTCCTTTTGCTTGGAATTACCGAAGAATATGGGGAACAGGAGAGAACTGTTTTATGAGATAAACAGAGTGGACAAGAGTCTTAGATAAAAATGGTAAGAGCAGCAGAAAGATCCTGACTAAATGAGGAGAAGAGAGGTGACTGAGAGTGGAGAGATGGCTGTGGAGGAGACTCCAACTTGCTCATGGACCACTAATTAGCTGAGGTGGGAGACAGTTTGGTTTGGTTTGGTTTTCTCTAGCTATATTGCTCTTGTTGTTGTTGTGTACCATGCAGTAGGAACTGACCTACAGGTGACCCTCCGGTAGGTTTTCATAGGCAGTTAATCGCACAGGATGAGGTTGCCCATCCTTCTCCTGTCTAGCTATATTACAAGGAGCCTTATTTTAGTCAATCTATTAACATGGACAGCTAAGGCTTCTTTTACTTTAAATCACATTTAATAGAAGCAGTGGTCACTCTCTGTTGTTTCCTGTCCCCCTCCTCACCCAACAAGGTCTGAAAAAATCAGGATCATTAAGTAGTTTGCTTAGCGACAGGAAAGATTGGTTCTGATATATCATAGCAGGGAAGTTCAGTTTGTTAGATATTCAACAAGATAAATGTAGGCTTAATTCAAATGTCTGTAAACCAGGATATTGATGGATGGCAGAAACAGTTAAGCTCTCAGCTCTTAACCAGAAGAATAGAGACTCGAGTCTACCCAGAGGCATCCCAGAAGAAAGGCCTGGGACTCTAATTCTGGGAATCTAATTCTGAAGCATCAATCATGGAAACCCCTGTGAAACCCAGTTCTGCTGTGTCACATAAGGGGTTACTATGAGTCAGAAATGACTTTGTGGAGATTGGTAACTGATTTCTGACTCATTGCTGATTGAGCCTGTAAATTGCCTGGAAGGAAGTTATTCATCTTTCTCTCCAGGAGATGCTGGTGGATTCGAACCACCACACACATGACCTTTGAATTAGCGACACACTTCCCTGTATTAACCAGGGCATCCACTTCCTAAACAACATGCGTCTGGACACTCTATTAACTTTGAGAAATGTCCATAGTTGTAGAGGGGCTTAAGGCCTTTTGTTCATAGGGTCACTATGAGTCGTGCTCAACTTGAACGCAATTAATAACAACAACAACAACCCTTTAGTAACTGATGGTGGTGGTTATTGTCATATACTATTTAGTTGGAATTGTTCCATAGTCAACCCTCCTGCAGATTTTCAGAGGTGGTAAATCGCACACGAAGAGATTACCCATCTTAATCCGGTGTACTAAAAGTGGGAAAAAGCACCGTGGGAGGTTTGGGTTGGATAACCTTAGAAATAAAATGTCTGGGATAGTAGGTCCTGCTGTGGAAGATTCAGAATCCCATCATCTTTAGAGCTCTGTATTTTGTCTGCCTAACAGGTGGAGAAAACGCATTAGCAATCCAAGACTCCAGACACACCAAGCCATTTGCCTATGACAATATCATCTAAACAGCCATGCACTTTCTTCTCAAGTTTTTTCATCAAAAACAAGGAAAGGAATTCATTGATTTGACCAGAAACATCAAAGAAGAATAAGGAACATTTATTTCCTTCCATAATACAGCAGAATCAGTATTCCTGAGACCATCCTTTATACGTCTTTGGGTTTGACATTTCACAACTCATTCTTAAGAAATCTCCTCACTTCCAGATTGTTTACTCCTTCCTGGAAAAGCTGGCTTCCTGGAAACAAATCTCAAAGGACTTAGGAGAAGCTCTGTAAAAATAGACATGTAATGTTATACATACTAGTGAATGTCCATGAAAGATGGAAGGCCTGAAGTTGAGGAAGAGTAATAACTTACAAAATTTTAAAGTCGCTTAACTCACTCAACAAACATTTAACCTTTGCTAGATCAATCTGGGCAATAGGACGGTAATGGTCATTGCACCTTTCAAGCTCGTTTTTTGTAATGAGCAAAAAACTTGGCAAGCAAGGAGATTTGCTTTTGACATATCCTCTCTCACAGATCTTAATTGGAAATACTGAGAAGGGAGTTGATGTCCCAGATACAGGGGTCGGAAGTTAGATGGAGATGAGAGTTAAAACTCATGAAAAAATAAAACAACTGGAAAAAACAAAAGACTTTACATATAAGATGACCAAGATGACAGATAACAAACTAAAGAAAACTAAGGATTAGGAGACTGAGACCTATTTGAGAGGATATGAAGGAGTATATAATGTCATACTGTAAATATGTATATTATTTATTACTATTAATTTCCAGATTAAAAAAAATGTCTTATTTTAATAAAATCACTCTGTCTGAAAGAAGGATGCTTTTTTCTCTAATTCTTACAAAGATAACCCCAGGCTTTCTTGCTGTTGTTGTTGTGGGTATGCAGAACCTGGTTGGGAGATATATTTGCAATGGAGTCAGAACAAAAGTCAGGACTTTTGTATGTATTGGCATAGGAAGTTGTCCTAATTCTCACCTTCTATGTGAGAGACCAAGGTTCTGTTCCCAGTCAACACAACTCTTGTACAGCCACTACGTGCTCTGTCAGTGGAGGCTTTTATG